TTCAATACTTTGTGTCCATTTTCATAAATGGGAAGTCAGGGCATCACATTGGGACATTTTGTTATAAAGCTTTTAATATCCTTTACAGTCCAAAGATGATGTAGTTCTAATTAGACCCAACGGGTTGAGGTCCAAGGAGACAAATACTGAGTTTCCTGGAAAGAATAGCCTTATAAAACGGAGTCCAGAAATGGAATAGGCTGCAATTCATGAAAGGATGGGACAACCCTTTACAGGGATGTTATGTAGGAGATTCAAGCCTTGTACAGAGGAGTGGGTGTATTGTGACTAAATACCTTTTAAAATTCTTTTCAATCTGTGAGAATCATAGCCTTACGGACAATGATTTTGAACAAACTAACAGTGTGATGCTGTGCAGGTCAATTTCATTTTAGCATCATTTTCTTCACTTATATAATGGGGTATACAATAATCCCTATTATACTACTTTGTACAAGATTGTTACTAACTTTTGTGAGGGAATCAAATGGGAGACATTCTAATCTTATGTTATTATATTTCATATTATGTTTTAATTTAGTTACTATATGTTATTAGATGTTTTATAGTTATATAAAGTTTATATAAAAATATATATTATATATAAATTTATATATTTAATATATAAATATATATAATATATAAATTTATATATATAATTTTTCTATATTTGATTTTTATTTTGCTACTTTTTTCTAATCTTCATTTTTTAATTTTTTTATAATTCTTCATTTTTTTAATGGACAATCAAAAAAGTTGCTTTGTCTTCCTTTTCAATATATAAACTTGATTATCCTATTTTTTTAATTTTTATTTAATTTTTAAAATTTTTTTCAGTGTTCCAGAATTCATTGTTTATGCACCACATCCAGTGCTCCGTATATCTAAATTTATTATTATATAAATACATGTGCATATTTTATATATAGTTATATATATTTTATATAAAGATAAATATAATATATATATTATTATGTATTATATTTTAATTCATTGTTATAATTAAGAACCCTGATAACTTCAGCCATATTGGAGAAGTAGAATAAATAGAAAAGAAGTAATAGCAACCCAGTGATTGTACACTGGTTCTGCCATCATTTGGGGATTGGTAATTCAGGCAGGAGAAGTGGATTGAAAGCAACCTAAAGAGGGTGTTCCATTCCCTGTTTTTGTTCCTATCCTATTTTGTTCCATTCCCTGTTTTGTTCCTAAACTGCAGATTAGTCACAGTTCCATTTTTAGGAGATTCTTTCTATATCCATCTTTGGGACCCTCACCCACATGTTAAGTGTCATTTAAAACTTTAAAGGCACTATTCTAGGGGTGCCTGGGTGGCTCAGTCATTAAGTGTCTGCCTTCAGCTCAGGTCATAATCCCAGGATCCTGGGATCCAGTCCCACACTGGGCTCCCTGCTCAGCAGGAAGCCTGCTTCTCCCTTTCCTACTCCCCTGCTTGTATTCCCTCTCTCGATGTCTTTAACTTTCTGTCAAATAAATAAAATCTTTTTTAAAAGTAAGTAAAGGCACTATTCTACTTCAAAAGAAACACACATCATATGTATGAATTTATATGACTTATTATGTTATATACTTTATGTGATCACACATACACACATATATAAAGATAATTTAAGAGCCCTATAGTGGGGGTATATACACCCACACCCATGTGCATTCACACATACATGAGTACACATATATGTGTATAAGCATATATTTTATACATACATTGCATATGGCTTGCAATAACAGTGCCTCTCTAATACTGTTAAGTGCCTTGATTTTTGAAGGACTTTAGAAAACAAAGAGAAAAGACTGAATGCAGACATAAGAGGCAATGTTACAATAAATTGCTATCCTAAAAGAAGAAAGTTGAGGGACAAGAGACCATTATTTTGGTTAATGTCTTGCTTATTGATAATACTTGTGACTTTTATATGAAAGACTCCACAAATATATTATGGATAAAATCCAGATATCATTTAAGGCTTTGATCTGGATATGGAATTGCTGAAGTGTATTGTACAGCTGAAATTAATATAGCACTGTGTGTTAACTACACTGGAATTAAAGTAAATAAAATAAAAGACTCCTTGAGCTGGAAAAGATTTTAGTGATTTTTCAAGTTCAACCAAGATTAGAAAATCAACCAAGATTAGAAAAAAGTACTATCAGTGGAGCCCAGAGAGGGTAAAGGACTTGTCCAAGGTCATATAGTGAGTTAGTAATAAGACTGAACAAGGATTCAATCTTGTGACTTCCAGCCTAGTGCCCTCTCAGTTATCTGGGACTTAAACCTTTTTCTTCAGCAGATACTTTCCTCTGTATCCTCAACAGCTATTACAAGGTCTGGCCCATAATAAATGTTCAGTAAGTTAAATGTATTGGTTACACCGGGCTTTGCACTTACTCCTGGGTAAATTGTAAAGGATATCTGCATTTTAGGTCACATTGTTTTAGGCCAAGAGACACTCTGGGACAAAGTATGAACTATAGCTAGGGAGATGATCCAAACTGAAAAAAATATTTTCTTACTTTTACCACTCATTCAGAGGGTGGTTTACTTTTAGCAGCAGACTCTAGAACTCCTGTGGGAGCCCTAATCCAGTGGCTCTGCAACCATTCATTTACCAACTTGGGTTCATGAGCTGCTTTATTTTTCACTCCTGTGGAAGAAGGGATTCTTCAAAGGAGTATTCATAATGTCCCGATTTTACTAACTAATGTGAAAACTAGATCTAAAGGTTGCAACAGCACCAAAATTGTGGGGATGTTCCTGTTCTAGAATACCGACAGCACTGACATGAACCCCCTGGAATTAGATATAGGGCCTCCCTTCTAGGAGTTGATACTCAAAGACTGAATGGCACTCATAGCGCCATCCTTTCTGTGCATATGACAATCCTCAGTTTGCATAAGGAAAAGGCTGCCAGTTGGGGAACCTGGGTGGCTCAGTTGGTTAAGTGTCCAACTCTTAATTTCAGCTCAGGTCTTGATCTCAAGGTCACGAGTTTGAGCCCCACAGTGGGCTCTGTGCTGGGTATGGAGCCTACTTAAAAAAAAAAAAGACTATTTCTAAATTATGTGTTCTGTTTATACCAAAAAAAAAAAAAAAAATCCTGTGGCATGGTGGAAAGAGTACTGGCTTGGAGGCCTTAGTTTTCTCATCTGTTAAGTAGAAGTAATGGTAGTATCTACGTGTTATTCATTTAAATAGAATAACTGTGGTTATTCATTTAAATAGCATATATAAACTTGCCAACACAGGATTTGTTCGTAGTAGTTACCTATTAAATAGTAATATTCTTCCTTCATTAACCTCTAATTGAGTGTTCTTCAAGCAAGTCACCTTCCCAGAACTCATCCTTGGGTTGTACTGGGGTGATTTTTAACAGTTCCTTCAAGTCCAGCATTTTGGAAACCTTTGACAAAGGGAAGGGAATGAGAGAGGAAAGTGGGGGGAGAAAAGGAGGAAGGGAGGAAAGAAAGAAGAAAAACAAAAGTCTTAAAAAAAAAAAAAGGTCTGGCTGACCTGGCTACTACTGAATCTCATACATAAAATAACCTACTATAATACATGTGTTTTCTGTGCCTGGTCTGTACATTTTAGGCTGAAAAGGGAGAGAGGAGAAAAGCTATAGCTGAATTTATGTGTTTTTGTCCCTGCTATCAAATAGCAACTTATCTTCCCTACCACAAACATGCCTCCTCTGCCAAAAGAAACCTCCCTAAAATCCCAGTCTCTCCCATAAACTAAAGCACAGCAGTAAATAAGAGTGACTTGGATAAAAAAAAAAAAAAAAAGAAGGAGTGGAGTGAGGGGATTCACAAGCTCAGGCTGTCTCAGGGCTCCAAGCATGAGAAGTTCTGCATGTTTCAGAGCAGCAGGGTATGTATCTTTGTCTATTTCTTTTGGTGACTGTGCCTATGGATCTTTCTGTACCACTTGTGTATTCATTCAGTGTTTGTTGAAGGCCTACTGTATGCCAGGCATCTGTTGGGAGCAAGGAGGTAAAATATTGAGTAAAATGTGTTTTTTAGTGGACCTCCATGTTTTTTCTTTGAGCAACTGCGATCCTGAGGATCTCTGGGTCTGAGCATGTGTGTATGTGTATGAGTATGATTCTGTGTATCTGTGACAACTCCAAATGTGCACAACAGAAATTGTTTTTCTTCTGCTGGCTTCAGAGGACTTCCTTTCACCTGTTGTGATTCACTTCACAAAGAGTGAGTTTCATCTCTGATTTTTATAACCCACAGGATCGGGGATATGATCACTATCAATTTAAAAACAATTAGAAGTCTCTTGGTGTTCTCTTTTATAGAAGCTTTACCTGTATTTTTATTATGAAAAATAAGCACTGTAATAGCTTGAGTATGATCCTTTGAATGATTACAGTTATCAGGAGGTAGAAACATTGCCTAAATCCAAATTGCTGTGTCATGCTAAAAGAGTGATAATTTCTGCCTTTGGTCACTTTCCCATGGACACTCTTAGCTTTCTTTTTTTTTTCAGATTTTATTTATTTGTCAGAGAGAGGGAAAGTGGGATAGCAAGTGCACAAACAAGGGGATGGGCAGATGGAGAAGCAGGCTCCCCACCAAGTAGGGAGCCCGATGTGGGACTTGATCTCAGGACCCTGTGATCATGCCCTAGCCAAAGGAAGACACTTAACTGAGCCACCCAGGAGCCCCATTCTTAGCTTTTAGTAAAGGTAGAACATGTTATTTCTATAAACCAGTGAGTAGTCCTTGTCATAAAGTATAGCAAGACCTCAATTGTTCATCCTTATAAAAACACCTATGAAAACCAAACAATATAGCATATAAGTAAACCAGGCTGAGTGATTCTGTGTGATCAAATTGTTTAGGGCTATTCTCTGTTCACTTCTCTCATCCGGCAGGATGTATCCTTATGCCATTTCTGCCTAGAAATACTAAAGGAGAGAGATTCTGGAAATGCATTAATGGGGCATCTACTGTTCTGTTTGTTCTCCCAGGTAAACAGAAGTACCTGTGTGCCAGCAGAAACGATTGCACCATTGATAAATTCCGAAGGAAAAATTGCCCATCTTGTCGCCTCCGGAAATGCTATGAAGCAGGGATGACTCTGGGAGGTATGATACTTTTCTTCTTTTTTCATTTTTTCCCTCTCCCTCCCTCATCCTCTGATTCTCTCTTTAAACCAGATTTTCCTCTTTTGGTGCTTCTGAGATGGCCAGCTGTGCTCTAGATACAAACTCACTCCTTCATACCCAACATGGCCATCAGCCAGCTAATGCCTTTCTTTATCCTTAACCATGTCACATCCCACTCTGGGGCTCAACACTGGAGCAGGAGGTGTGATGCAGGGGATCGGGACCCATCAGGGGGTGAATGAGTGTGGAGCTGATTATGAAGGATTCCCCAGGGGACACGGTGATACTGGCCTTATGTTGTTGAATGATGACCAGGATGAAAGAATTACAGAATCCAGAGTAATCACAGGTGCAAAATGACTCAGGCACAGGCTGGACCTGAACACCCAGTATCCTCAGTTAACTACCCCTATATTGTAGGACTGGCCACCTGGAATGAAAAGCTGCTTCTCTTTGGCATCTATGACTAGGATGTCAAGCAGAACCAGTTTCCTATCCCATATCTCCCAGGGTTGAGCAGGCCTTTTAATCATTTCCCTTTCTTTGCAAATCTATTGATAACTTCCAACATTTTTTTTTCATAACACAGTGGCTTGACAGAAGGAAGATACAGCTTTTTCAAGGGCAGCCATTCATCCTAAGGCTCTCTGTCCCCTAGTCTGTGTCTACTGTGAGCACTGTCACCATGCCAGAAAGATTTGGCTTATCCTTCCATTTTTTCCCCCTCCAAATTTTGCATTTCTTCATGTTTACATCTGTGCAGTGGCAGGGTACTCCCTGCTGCCCGCTGCTTCTAAAAAGAAGCACATTTCCTGAGAAAAGCAAGCTTATTAGCCTACTTTGATTTAGAAATGGAACTCTGAAGAAAAGCAAGCTCTCTTCTGAATGCCTGAAACAATAGCCTCCTACCTGAATATTCATTATCAGCCTGGAAAACGCAAGTTCCTAGAATCCTGCCTTTTTCCCTGCCCCTCTCAAGGCTAATTTAGAGCACTTGTCCATCTCTGGCTTTCTGCAAGGTGCTCAATACCTTGTCTGCCTATGTACATGTTTATAGAAACCAACTTGTTTTCTATGTGTGGGTCTTCATGTTGATAACTGTATCTTCCCCTCCTTACAAGGCAATAATAGCCTTTAAACAGACCAAAGTACTACAAATGAATTGACTCAGGTTCAATTTGAGACAGTTGCAACAGAACCATGTCAAGTAGTGTCTAGTACCCACAGACATCACAGGCAGATGCTCTGTGAGTAGTTTTCCAGGCAGCCACATTAAATGAGACTCAAATATCAGAGAAAGACTAATCTTATTCTTATTTGTTTGGTATACTCTAGAGAAATCTTACAATTGTGGTCTGTAGTGGGGAGGAAGAAGCAGGACTGGGAAGGGGAAGTGCAGAAGGAAAGTCAGGAAAGGTAACAAAAGGGGACTGGATATGAAGAAGTTTTCTTCATATGAATGTTGCAACCCTATGGTGAGAGTTCTGATACACTCAGCTCTCAGTTATTTAGCCCTCTGTGAATTGTGTGTAAGAGATGGGGCTCCCAGATAGAGATCCCCCCTCAGTTTTTCATCTGCTGATATGAATTGTAAGCCTGCTTTGACACAGGTGAAGTTTAATGGTAACCAAAGATCTCCAAAAATTTGGGTCCAAATCTTAAATAGTTTCGTGTTTCAGCCAACATCTCTCAGTATAAAACAGTCTGTAACATGATTATAGTGAAACCCTTTCAAAAAAGAGTAATTTCACTACTCCATATATCAGTGAGGCATAAATCTGTAAATTAATTTCACGGAAAGAGTGGTATACTAAATTTTCAAATTGATTTATTAGGTAGAGTGCTCAAATTTGAATTGACTTGGTCAACATAATGAAAAGAAGGTAATGCTGTGAATGGCTTTCACTTCAGTTTCATTTCTATGACAGTTATTGAGTGTCTATTGTATACAATGGCACCATACTAAGCAATAGAACTCAGGCTGGCAAACTTGAAGAAATGTCTACAAGATACAAGGTTTCTTAATATTGTGTATGTGGTCTTGCCTTTGGAGTCAGGCAGACCTAAATTAACTTCTCAGCTCCATTATTTACTGTGCCCCTCTAGGCCTCAATTTCACAAAGTCTGTAATTTAGTGATAGCACTCTGTGATGTGAATGTGATGAGCATGAACATCGTTGCTAAACTACAAAGTGCTAGACAAATGTGAAGGCTTACTGTGACAGTGAGGTCCCTAGTAATTTAGATGGTAAGCACTTCCTAGTTGGTTTTTACCTTGAGTTATTCGGCATGCCCTATAATATGCAATAATTCCAACAGGCAGAGAGAACATCACCAGAAATCACACTTGATCACCTCAAACTAAACTAAAAGTACCATCAAAATCCTGTTTGAAAGCTGATTCTAGTAGTTAAGTGAGTCATATATTATATTCAAATATCATGTCATTAACATCCCAAGTGTTTACCCACTTAGACACCATTGTTTGAAAAGCATAACTTTCCATTTTGCTAAACTTATCTCCACACTGCCTGATTCTCTGCTGCTAACCCAGCAAAGTGGTTAACTTGCAAATTTGATGTTTACCACACCTTTACTCAAAACAATGGGGAAAAGAATGAAAACATAAATGTAGCGTGGCCCTTCTAAATACTTTGGCAGTAGACTTCCCTTTTCATAAGATTTGGGCTTAGCATAGACATTCTGATAACACTGAAGGAGAATTCATATAATTTTCTTTTATTCTTCCCATCACTCAACTCAAAATGGTATAATATATTCTAAAATGGCAACTAGGAATGTGGTCTTAAGCAAGTCCCTTCTCCCCTCTGAGGCTGTTTTCCCATCATGAAATTGGAATAATGCAATTTACCAAGGACCTTTCTGGCACTATCATTTTGTGATTCTGGGTGTAAAGTCACAGAAAAAGCATATCAGTCTTTCTTTGGATTAGGTAGCCATCCACTGTCCTCAGAAGTACAGACAGTCTAGACTTGAGTATTTTGACTTGCATAATAGTTTTAGCTACCACAGGTTACTTATACCTAAGTAAGATATATTACTTGTCTCAAAGTAGACTAGATATACAAATTATTGAAGAAGTGGAGGGCAGAAAGGTTATCCTTGTATCTTAAAGAAGCTGGCACTCTATAGCTGATGCTTGCTTAGTGCTAAGGCCTCAAGGTTTCTAACTGGCTTTCTCTATAGTGTTCCATCTACTGTTTGGTGATGGGCTCTCCTTGACTCAGAGATATTTAAAACACATAGCTTTTTCCTTTCTACTTCTAGGCTTATGTACAGGTTCATTGCTTCTTTTCCTAACAGCTCTTGGTGTTTCTTGGTATTTCTAAGGGTGGCTGGGTTCCCTGGGTGGATCCCTTAAAGACTACCTTCAGGCTATTAACAGCCCATTCACCACAAGTGTAGGACTTTCTTTGTACTGGGCTCATTTCTGGCTGCTTTTGAAAAGCCACACATTGCTAATTGCTTCAAGAATCTAAACCTCTTGCCTACTTTTAATGTAAGAAAATACTCACAAATATAAATGTCCAGAAAAGGACCTTCCCTCTGGTGAATTAACTGTGGCTTTTTCACAGCTCATAGTTAGAATAAATGCACAACCCTCTTTCACTATTCTCTGTACTTCCCAAGGATATACTTCCAGTTTCCAAGATGTAATGAGAAAAAAAGAATTGCCCTGACCTGCCATCTTCTCTCCTAACCCTTCTCTCCTTCTTACTTACCTTCCTATTCCTTCCCAAACATTTCTTTTTTTTTTTTTTTTTTCATTTTGCAACTCTTGAGTTCTCAGCTTTTAATAAAGGACATTAGCCCCTACTTTTACTCCTTCCTGTATTGGACCCTGGAGATGGTAGGCCCTTCAGGAATTTCATGTAGCAGCCAAACCCCAGAAGAGGAAAAGAAACCTGGAACATGTGAGAATCTATAAACTGTTCAGTGTTTTCTTCAGGGGCTGCTTTAGCATATTTGAGAAGTCTCTTTCCTACTAGAAGACTGAAGATTACATAAGAGACTCAAAACTATTAACAGATCTGCAGGTTTTAATAACCTCCAGGATTCTCTAGTTGGGAGGATGGCTCAGGGAGCCCATGGCCTTGATCTGATGTCATCATGGATGTTATGGTTTGTTATGTGGTTTCCAGGTTGAAGACAGTCTTAAGGCCATCTCTTTCATAATTCTGCATTGGTATTTCTGGATTACATATCCACACATGTCCAGATGCAAGAGTGATTCCAACACTGAAACACTATTCACAGCTTGGTTCCTCAGGAGACAAGTTTCACAGCATTTATCCATCCATCTATTTATCTGTTCATCCTTCTAGCCAGCCAACTAGCTAGTCCTTTTATCATTCCATCCATTCATTCATCCATTTATCCATTTGAAAAATATTTATTTACTGAGTATGAACAATGTGCCAGACACTAAGGTAGACATGTTGGGGGAGCAGAGATGATTAAGATAAAATCCCTGGCCTCAAAAAGTTAAATAGGAGACAGAGAGTGATAATGAATACATCTCAACTTTAAAGGATGAAAAGGAAATGCCTGGGAAGAAACTGAATGAGATAGAAGGGAAGGGGCATTCAAGGCAAAAGGCACAGTTTGAATAAAGGCACAGAAACATAAGAAAAAAATGTAGTGAGGGTTTTAGGAAGAGCAAGTCATTTAATGACAAGACCTGGGGAAATGGGGAAGGTAAGGTAAAACCACATTAAAAATGGACTTAGTTATTATGCTAAAAGTTTTGGATTTCAGGCAGCTGAAGATCTGTGACATGGGATAGACACATTCACGTATCATTTTGTGTGTTCCTACATTTGTTTCTTTAATACAATTACTGGCAGCATGAGTGTGATATAGGTGAGGACCTACACTTTAGAAAAATATATAATGGGCCAGGGAGAGAGAGAGAGAAAGTCTACACCAAATTTTGCTTCACACCTAGGATTGCAGCC